CGCCCAGCCTGCGCCCTGCCCACCCCTGCCCGCTCCTGCTCCGACCTCACACCCCCTCTCCATGTCCCCACACTCGGGAGGCAGCCGAGAGGGCTCCCCTGCCCCGCGTTGGTGCTGGGGCTGCAGCACTGCACTTTACGGGGCCCTTGCAGGTGGGATGTGGGGACGGCTCCTGCCCTTTTGCCGTGCCAGCCAGGGCTGAGACCCCCCCCTGCAACTGGGACTTGGCTGGGGGATCCTCTCCTGCAACTGGGGCTTCCTTGGGGGACCCCATCCTGCAAATGGGGCTTTGCTGGGGGACCCTGTCCTGCAATCAGGGCTTGGCTGTATACTCCCAGCTAAAGCTGGGGACAAATTTTCTCCCCCTTCTTGCTTCTGCTTCCAGCAGAGAGTCTGCAGCCAGTGGCAGTCCCTTGCCTGTACCTTCTTGGGGCTCAGCAGTTTTCAGGGGCTTAGGGCAGGCACCCTGGGCTTGCAGCCTCCGTTGTCCCTCCTGCTCCCTGCACATCTGCAAGCAGGGGCTCTTGAAAATCCTCTGAAAAAACTCAGCTGTTGTACCCAGCCCATTTTGCCAGGCCCTGGATATCCTTGCCTGTGGTGTCAACACCACATAGTGCGAGGAGAGTGATGAGATGGCTCCTGTCAAGAGGCACTGGGTCCCCATTACTGGTGGCTCTACCCGCTGGATGCTCCAGCAGGCACCATGGCTGGCATTTAGGCAGGCATTCCCCATTCCCCTTCCTGGGGTGCCAGCTCCAGTGTCCTCCCAAGTCTCAGCATTGCTGCCATCCCTGACTCACTGCAGTTTGGGGTGTCTAGAGGTCCGTTGTCCCCAGAGCTGAGTGGTGACCAGGGGGACTGCGATCTGGTAGTGGGGAGGGATGGTTTTGTATCCACAAGGATATGGAAAAAAATGGGAAAGGTGGTAGTTAAACCACCCAAATGCAGCAGGTAGAGAGCTGTGCTATGACCCTTTTCGTAACCTGATTTTTTTTCCCCTTTTTGTGGGGTGGAGAGGAGCCTCTTGCAATGCTCTCAGGATTAGCAGTAGGAGATGAGCGAGACCCGGCACCGGCAGGTGGGAGCGCGGGCGGGCGGTACCGGGCTGGCAGCTTTCCCTGCCTGCTGGGATGTGAAGTGGCCGTGGGGCCAAGGGAGCCTGGGTGGGATGGTGGCGGCAGCCCTGCTCCGGGGTGTCTCTGACAGTATTAAAACCAGCTGAAACTTTAGGGCTGTTGGCTTGTCTGCTCTGTGCCTCCCTGAGAACCATCTCCCAAAGCCCGGCAGGTCCAGTGATCCGCCAGGATCCCCTCTGAGCCACCTGGCTCCTCCATCCTGGGGGGCTGCCAGCTGCTGTGCTGACCACACACCTCTCCTGCTTTCACAGACCCTCCTAGCTCCCTTCCCAGTCTGAAAAACTGTATCAGGGCTTTATGCACATCTTCCCTGCTGCCTCCGCCCTGTCTGCAGCTGCCGGAGCCTGTGCTCGCAGCTGGCCAGGCACAGTGGGAAGGGACCTGGGGAGGGGAAGCCTCTATCAGCACCCCACGCCCTTTGTCTCCTCATTTGGCTTTGATCCTCTAGCAAATACCCCAGCTTGGAGCTAGATTGGCTCTTACACCCCAGCGTGATCCCAGGGCTGAAGGGAGCTGTGAGTTTTGCCAGGGCTGCCCACAGGGATGTTCCCAGCAGAGCCCTCCTGGGCAGGGGTGGGGCAGGATCCCCCTGCACTGAGGGTGGGGTCCCTTGTAGGGAAGGAGCACTGGACTGAACAGAGCAGAGGAGATTTGCTCCTCTCCAGAGTCTTCTGCCGCACTGGGCAGGGACCCCTGAGGTTGGTACAAATGGCCAAGGACCACCTGCTTCCCACCACAGCTCTCTGTCCCCACAGCTCTGGACAACGTTCATGCACATTCCTGCTGCCAGCAGTGCCTTGCTCATCCTGGTATCCCCTCCTTGGGCCTTGCCTGTGGGAGGTGGGTTCTTGCCTAACTCCATGGGTGCCAGCTCCAGGCACCAGAGGGTTGAGGGGCTGCTTGCAGAGCTTGGGCTGAATTCACTGTGGCTGTGGCTGCTTGGTGACAAATAGCAGCCACAGCTACAGCCAGGGACAGGGGGGACAGTCTACCCGGTTCACCTCCAGACACGCCACCCTTATCACCGGGAAGCTGGTGCAGAGATAAGAGCGGTTCGCGTCGAGTCCAGCCAAGACAACCCTGAGCCAGAGACACGGCAGAGGCTCCGTGAGGAGGGTGACAGGAGCAGATACTGTGTCTCAGAGCAGGGGATTCATCCTCAGCCCCTGGCTGCTGCTTCCCCTGCCCACTGCTACCCCCCAAGTGAGCCCCTCTGGCGGATGCTGAGCCCTTTCTCAACCTTGTGGCATTTCCTTCCTCCTCTGCAGTCCCAGGATGGGGGCACTGGTGAGAGCCAGGGTGCCTTCCCTGCCATGCACAGCCTCTCATGGTTTGTCCCTATCCCTCGGATGCTCTTCCTGGACGCAGCTGGGTTGCTGTAGCAGCAGGAAGGCCAGGATGGCCGGCACGGTGTGGCACCCTGCTGACTCGGCTGCCTGTGCTGCCAGCTGCTGTGAGCTGGTTCCTCAGGAAGCAGCCATCGGGGAGAGCATCCTCTCGCCTCTCACCACCACCCAGAAAGCCCAGCACAGATCATAACCTCCTCTATCCTACCAGGAACGTGAGTGTTCCTCCCCAGTTCTGGCCTTGGCAATAGGTTCCTGCTGGAATCATCCAGTGCCAGTGGCATTTCATGGACAAATCTCTCTGGTGGGGCCACGGCGGACCTGTCAGCTGCTGGCTTTGAGACAAGGAGGACAGGGATGACATTTTTATGGCTCCTATTCAGTCAAAATTTCAGCCAGCCCTAAACACATGCCCTAAACATGTGCTCCTGGGTCAGAACTATGCTGACCCTGCACAGCTTTGCTTACTCTGAAACCTGTGGTCCTACCCAGGTTCTCCCTCAGGGAGCAGAAAAAAAATATGGGATCATTCCAGAAGTGCCACAAATAGAGTAAGAGGTGGTAAGGAGTGAAGGGGATTCCTTCTTCCTCTGGGTCTGCCGGTGGCCAGATCCTTCCCCATGCTGCCTGTTGACCAGGAGAAAGGAGAGGCACCATTGGCTACATCCAAACAAGAGTCGTGGCCAAAGGTGAGCCAGGAGCTGTTGTTGAAAAGAGATGCACAAAAGCATTCCTGTCCCCTTCCCTGCTGCCGCTCCCCTCTTCAGGCAGGGCAGAGGATGGCTGCTGCAGGCGCTGTAGTGCAAGCAGCTCAGGCAGCACCGGACACTGCAGGGCTGGTTCCTCGACTCTGGAACAATGGGACGGCCATGCCAGGGAGCACTGTGCCCTGACAGGGCTGTCCGTCTGCCTGCACAGGTAGGGGGTGGAGGGAACCATCCCAGTCGCTGGATTACCGGTACACGGGCAACTTGGGCAAGCAACTGCAAGGGGGCACTGGTCACCGGGATGCAGCTGGGATGTCATCCCACCATCTTCTCTGGCCAAGGGGCGGGGCTGGGGGGGACACAGACCCTCGGCCAGGATGCAGGGCAGCACAGAGTGCCGGGAGATGTAATTGCCCCTCCATTGTGGGCTGCGGGACAGGCTGCTCCGGGCAGGCGAGCAGGCGGCGTGCCCGGCCGTCACACTCCCATGTCCCCGGGCAGCCCGGCTCCACCGCGTCCCTCCTCGGGGAGGGCTGGCAGGCCCGGTGGGTGCGCAGGGAAAAGGAGAACAAGGAAGAGCAGTGCCTCCAGACCGCGGGGCCCACGGCCATCCCCGGTCGGGGCTTCCCTCGGGGAACGCGGGCTGCCGTGCCGGCGCTGGCGGCAGATAACGCCGTTTCCTTGCCGGCTGCTCCCTATCAGTGCGGCGGCGTCGGGCAGACAAGATCGCACCCCGAGCGCTCCACGCTGGGGGGCTGTCAGAAAGGGGTCCTGGCCCCCTTCACCCCCCAGCCAGCCTCGGGGCGGTTTGTTTTTACACGAGTTGTTTTCTTTCCGGCTTGAAGCCATCCTGCGCGGCGGCAAGAGCCGGACCGGGGCCCCCACGCCTCATTTCCTTGCCATAAAACAACAAAGTGGGGGGTGATGCAACGCACCGGGCTGGGACAGCGGGTCGATGGGTCAGGGCACACGCGGCTTTGTGGTTCCTTCATGTGTTCGGCCCCACTGTCCACCCCTTGACCGGCATCCCCCGGCTGCGCTGCCGCCGTGCTGCCCTTCCTGAGGACTCGATCGGGGACTCTTGGAGCCGGGTCTGCATACCTGTGTGCCAGTGGAAGCTGGCATGGAGGGCATCATCCAAGTTTAGGGATGATGCCCCCTCACGTGGGTGCAACTGAGCACCCCAGAGCTTTCACCCTGGGTTCTGTGCCTCTGCTTTGCCCTCACAGCCCCAAGCAGACCTTGAAGAGGCTGAACCCCACAGCTCAGCAGCCTCTCCTAAATCCCAGAGCAGGCAGGTGCTGCCTTGCACTTCCTGGGCACAGAAGACCCTCTGACACAGCCCACCTGTCCCAAGCTGCTTGTGCCTGCGGTGCTCCTTACACGTGTGCTGGACACCACCTTTGCTTGGGAACTGAGACCAATCTTCTCGGTTTTATGTGGGACAAGGGATGGCGTTTTTTTCCTGGCACTGTGACTTCACCAGGGCTTTGCATGGGGCATCACAAGATCACACCAGCCCCATGGGGGCACCTTGCTCCCCACTGCTGTCCTCTCTAAGCTGGGGGCAACGTGGGCAGCTGGCACATCACGGATGAGATGTGTTAACAGTGTGTGGGCAGCATGCGGGCAGTGTGCGGGCAGCGTGTGGGTGCACGGCCAGGCCATCAGCCAGGCAGGGCGGGCGGGCAGGCAGGCAGGCAGGGGGCCGGGGGCACCCACCCCAGCTCCGGGCTGCAAGCAGGGGGTTGGGAAACGTGTGTTTCCCTTTAAGAGGCAGGCCCTGGAGCTGCTTCCTCTCAGCCCTGCAAGAGCCCTAAACACAGTGCATCTGCCTGCAGCCTGCCTGCACGCCTGCCTGCAGCCTGCCCGCAACCAGCGTGAGTAGGGCTTTGCCCCAGCGCCGGAACTGGGGAGGGCTGGCACTCCGGGGCGGTGGGCACTCTGCTTGCCATGGAGGACAGGGAGGGATGGCATCACCATGGAGGGAGCTGGGCATCACCGCAGAAGGTGCCAGACATCGCTGTGGTGGGTGCTGCAGCACGATGCTCACTGGCATTGCAGCTGAGAATGCCGGGCCCCCAGCACGTCACTTCAACGCTGGGCTCTGGGGGAGGGGGTGTCACCAGGCACTGGGGTACAGGGGGAGCAGGGCTGGTGCCCTGCACACCGAGGTGTGGAGCTGCAGTGCCTCGAGCCCACCCTGGGGCGCGTGGGCAGCACGTGGTGTTGTGCCTGTGGCTCCAGTGCCTGCAGCACTGCTCACCTCTGTGCCGGCTCTGGGGCTGAGCTGGTGCTCGGGTGGGTGCACCCCGTGCCCTCGGGTGCTGGTTCCGCAGATCCCAGTGGGTGGCAAGCATGGGCTGCACCCCACGGTGAGCAGTGGCTCTGACCGCTGAGGAGAGTCCGGCAGTGAGCAACCTGTGGTGAGAGCAGTCGGTTGCACACCCTGGCCCCCGGAGACCACCACCTTACCCCGTATCGGACCCTGCAGGGGGTGAGCACCCGCTCTCACATAGCCCCCTGGCCCGGGGCACATTCGCAGGCACTCGTAAGCCTCGTCTAAGCAGGGCACAGATGTCAGACCCCTCCCGGTGTTGGAGGGGGTCTGCCGGAGGCTTGCCGAGTGCCGGGCCCCCTCTGCCGGCTCTGGGAATCCTCACAAGTAGCCAGTCCTGGGAGCACCTTGGGTGAGCGCCATGCGGGGCACCCGTGGGTACCCAGGCACCCAGAGCTCTGGTCAGCAAAAGTCTCTGGCGCTGTGGGGCAGCCGGGCTGCCCCCACCCGTGGGACGTGGTTTGGGAGTGAAATGTGTTGCATGGGGTCAGCGCCAGCCATGCCTGTGGTGCAGAGCTCTGGGTCGGAGTCAGGGGTCCTTGGCCAGGATGGTGAGTGCCGCTGGGCTTTGTCTGGAGCTGGGGCAGCAGAGGCAGCCTGAGCCCTCTCCCCACCTCCTCGGCTGGGTTGCATGCTCGGCTGCCTCTGTAAACCGAGCTTGCTGCTTACAGTGGGGCTCCACCATTTCTTTCCCCCTTCACCCCTACGTGATGTTTTCCCAGTGCTCCCTGTTCAAAGGACTCCCTGGGATCCTGTTTCTGTAGCTGCCCCATCCCCAGTTTGGTCTCAGCGCTCCCCTCCAGGCTGGACGCTCCACAGGCCCCAAAGGGCAGCAGCAGCAAATGTGTGTGCGGTGTGACCCAGGCGGGAAGGGCCTGGGAGGGGGGGGCCTCCCAGGAGGGAGGGGATTGGCAGCCCCGGTTGTGGGGCAGGTCTGGGGGCACAGCTCCTGCTGCCTGCACCTTCCCCTGAGGGCAGGCGAGCCACTCTGCTGGCTCTTTCCACCCCTCTCCTTGCATCCCTGGTATGGAGTCTGCTCAGCACCACTGCCAGGCAGTGCTGGCATAGGCTCCTGGCTATTTTGGGGGGTGTTACAGTAGTCCTTTCCCCCTTCTCAGCCCAGGCTCAGGGTTTGGCCTTGCTTCCCAGCCATGCTGCTGCTCCTGCTACTCCTGGAGGCCACCCTGCTGCAGCTGGCCAGCGGCTCCTACCACCCCTTCTACAACGGCTTCTACTACAATCACATCATGAACGACATGGGCAACGGGCAGGACAAAGGTATATTGGGGATAGGAGGAGCTGGCAGGTTGTCTCAGGGGACTGAAGTCCCCCCCTGCCTCTGGGTGGGGCTGAGATCCACTTCTTGGGGGGGTGTGGGGTCCAGAGGAGCAGTCAAGAATGCTCCGCGGGTGCTCAGGGCAAGCTCATGGTAGAAGAGGTGGTGGCTGGAGGGAAGATTTGGGGACATTGCCCAGCCCTGGATCCTGACCTGCCCATCAAGCCTTCCTTACCTGTCCCCAGATTACTTCAATGGAGCCAGACTGGTGGTGGAAACCTCCAAAGACCCTGTCTACAGCTACAGTGGTGCCAACGTTACCTTGCCCTGCCACTACCGCTACGAGCCTGACCTGGGAGATAAGCGCAAAATCCGCATCAAGTGGTCCAAGATACGGGATGACTACACCAAGGAGCAGGACGTGGTGGTTGCTATTGGCAAGACCAATGTGGCCTTTGGGGACTTCAAGGGCCGTGCTCACATCCACCGGGCCAGCCAGCACGAGGCCTCGCTGGTCATCAGTGATGTGCACCTGAAGGACGATGGCAAATACCGCTGTGAAGTCATTGACGGGCTGGAGGATGAGAGCGACGTGGTGGACCTGCGGCTGCAAGGTGGGGCCATACTGGGGACCTTGTGACCCTCTGTGCCAAGCCAGTGAGCCTGACCTTCTGTGACACCTCCTCCTTTGTGGACAGGGAGGCCAATTGTGGGCAGAAAGCGGCTGGGGTGCTTGGTGGGATGAGGTGGTGGCTCGGGGCTGTCTGACTGCAGGGTCTCAGCAGTGAGTGAGCCCGAAGCAGTCTGCACAGCTGGGACTCTGAGGGTGCTGCTATGGAGTTAGAGTTGGGAGTGACCCCATGGCTGCAGCATTTCCTGCCTTTACCCACCCATCTTCCCGCTGTGCTGCATCATGTCCAGCTGTCCCCTCCCCTCCCAGCTCTGTATATCTCAATGCCTCTTGCGATGAATGTTGGTGACTGGTCCAGCCCCTCTTGCTCACTTGCCATGAGGGACCTGACTCAGCCTTGACTCTGCTTCCAAGCTCATAGCTGTAAAAATGTCCCTCTTGCTTGCCCCTGCCCATTCCTTTGGCCCTGTCTCCCAGTGTCTTGTCCCCACAGGTCCCTGTGACTGTGTCCATGATAGTGATGCACATGGTTCTGTGGTCCATCCATCCCCGTGACAGTGGTCCATCTATCCCCATGTTGGTGGTCCATGTGTCCCTGGGATCATGGCCCATATGTCCCCATGATGCTGGTCCTTGTATCCCTGTTCCTGTAGCCTATGCATCCTCACGACAGTGATCTCTCCATCCCCGCAGAGGTGGTCCATGGCTCCCTGGGACCAATGTCTGTGTGTGTCCAGGGCCGTGGTCTATACGACCCAGTGGTGGTGGTCCCTGCAACTCCATTATCATAGTCTGTGCATCCCTGTATGTGCAGGTGCCGTCCCCATGAGGGGGTCCGTGTGTCCCCAGGACCAAGCCCCTGTATTCCTGTGCCACCAGATGTCGCTGGCAACTCACCGCTAGCGCCTGCACGCCCGGAGCAGCCCCATCCCCGCATTCCTGAGCCTTGGGCTCTGCCACACTGGGGTGGTCCCTGTCTCTGAATTTGGGATGGGTCGGGGACCCCTGTGTCTCCTGCTGGGGCTGAACTCGGGGCGGGTGGGCTGCCCACAGAGCCAGCTGAGCATCCCATCTGCCTCCAGGCATCGTGTTCCCCTACCAGCCTCCCCGCGGGCAGTACAGGCTCAACTTCCACGAAGCCGAGCAAGTGTGCCAGGACCAAGGTGCCATCCTTGCCAACTTCAACCAGCTCTTCCAGGCCTGGAGTGAGGGGCTGGACTGGTGCAACGCGGGCTGGCTGGCCGATGGCACCGTGCAGTACCCCATCTCCCGGCCGCGGGAGGAGTGCGGCCGCAAGGACACGCCCGTGGGCGTGTGGAGGGAAGAACACAGTGCCTGGGGTCAGGAA